TCTCAAGAATGGAAAAAAAATATGCAAGGTACTCAATACTATTATGAATTCAATATATAACTACCCACACTTTCATATGAAAGATGAAACACAATTATAGCCCAGAAAGAAGGAGAGAGGAAGGCTAGGAGGGGGGATAGGTGGAGGGAGGGTAATACATGGGACCTCACCTACCATGTATATTGCAAGCATACACGTCAAATATGTTAACAGTAGAGTATAAATGTCTAAACACAACAATAAGTGAGGTGAATGATGTTGACCAGGTTGATGTGAACATTCTAGATTATATATAGAGTCAGCACATTGTACCCCATAAATGCAGTAATGTACACAGTTGTGATCTAATACAAAAATAAATGAAATTTTTGCAGCAGATCCTCTCATGGCACACTGGTTGAAAAATCACTACCTTAGAAGAAAGTGATATTTAAAAACCCTAATTTGACTGGCCTGGCTTGGTGACTCACACTTGTAATCCCAGCACTCTGGGATGCCAAGGCAGAGGATCAGTGGATTGCCTGAACTCAGGAGTTTGAGACCATCTTGAGAAAGAGTGTGACCCCCATGTCTAAAAATAGCCGGGTGTTGTGGCAGACATCTGTAGTGCCAGCTACTTGGGAGGCTGAGGCAAGTGGTTCACTTGAGCCCAAGAGTTTGAGGTTGCTGTGAACTCTGACACCATGGCATTCCACTGAGAGCAACAAAGTGATACTCTTGCCTCAAAAAGATGAAAGTAAACTAATAAAAAAACCCAAAATAAAAACCCTAATTTGAAAGGGCCAAGCATAGTAGTACACACCTGTAATCCCAGCACGTTGGGAGGTTGGAGGTAGAGGATTGGTTGAGTTCAGGAGTTGGAGGCCAACCTGGGAAACACAGGCAGACCTCATATCTCAAAAAACAAAACAAAACAAAACAAAAATCTTAATGTGAGTACTAGGGATGTTGTTTCTAAAGCTTTTCAGGAGACAGAGAAAACAATACCATGTTAAAAATATATAAAAGACCTCAAGAACACATAATAACATTTCCAAACCAATTCAGGACCACGAGGTCACTGAATGTCTTCAGTCTGACACTCGCATCTCATCTCTCTTCTCAACTCAAATTCTTTTTCATCTGGGGAGCTTTAAAGAAATAGCAATTCAGGAGCACCTCCCCCCACAACACACAAGCCAACTGAATGAGAACCTCTGGGGAAGAGGCCCAGTCAAGATCCCTCAGGCCATTCCAAGGCCTGTGAAGGAATCCCATGGTGCTTACTCACCAGTGTGGAATGCCACTCAGGGGGCGAGAACAAAGCCAGAGATTGTCCTCCTGGCCTGTAAACCTGAGGGTGGAGTTCCTAGGGTAAGATTGAAGGAGGGGAAGTTGAAATAAGGAACTTAGCACTTTCAAGGAGTGGTGCTATAGGGTGGTGGTGGGAGGTATGGGGCAGTAATCTGCAGGCTCGATCTAAAAAGGTTTAAAACTGAGAAGAAAAGCAGGAGCTTCAGCATGTTTCTCAGTCTGAGAAGGACCCTGGAGGAGGACAGAAAACGGAGTTTAGGGAGAAAGAAGGACGAATTCAGACGCTTCCCAGGGCTGCAGGTGGCTGATGTCTTCTTGCAGAGCCAGGAGGCCTGGGTTAGGCAAAGGGGGACGACTCCCTTAATCTAGTCTGCAAACTGAAGAGCAAGAGCCAGATCCGGTTCAGCCCCGTTGTTGACACAGTGCCTGATACACAGGACTTGTTTGTTACATGGTGAAAATGACTTAAGACACAGATGAAAACTAATGTAAATCGGCACTTCTCATGTCAGGTTGGCCCTTTCAGGGCCCTTCAGCTATTTTTATGAAAGACCAAAATGTTGTCTTTTCACCCCCTCCCTAGAGACCTCAGGACATGTGACAACTCGACAGACTGCAGAGGCAGACAGGACAGTCCGGGTGTCTTCTGTTAAGCAGACACTAAAAGAGATTTGCGCAAATGCAAAATAATGGCAGTCCCTCACTCGTTGTTCTAGGAAATATAGTTTTCATTAAAATGTTGTGTTGCCGTGTAATCAGTTTATGGTTGTTATTTTTTAATGAATTTTACATATTGATAACATTTCTCAGTTTTAATCCATAATTTGGTAGATATTGACAGATATGATCCACACAAAGCAAAGCTCTCCGGGGTCCTCAATAATCTTTAAAAGCGTGAAGGGCTCCTGGGCCCAGAAAGGTTGAGAATTGCTGGTGTCAAAGGATCTGGTGCTAGCAGGGACAGTCAAGGAGCAGGAGGGAGCAGGGAGCAATACCCTCCCCACTGAGAGCCACAGTCTCCCACAAGGATTGGTTCTGTCTCTCATGCTGGAGGGATCCTTCCTCACCTTCCACTGTCCAGGGACAGGCTCAGTGGTGATGTCTGCCCTTTCCAAGGAGTGAGGGTCCAGCTAACTAAAGGGCTTTTGTCTTCCTGGCTGGGAGCAGAGGATGTAGGGGTGCTGTCAGGCAGTGTGGAGCTCACTGTCTCCTCCCTCTCCCCTGCGTTGCTCACCAACACCATGGGAAGGGATTCTTCATCAGGGAAGTGCTTCAAGGTTAATAGAGGGGAAACTGATGCTCTCCTATGAGAGGGCTGCCATCTATCTTTTTAATTCAGACACCTGCAAGGTAAAATTATTGTTTTCCAAATCCAGCCAGCACCATAGTACCAAGCAGGGATTGAGAATTCCAAAGCCATTCATACAAAGAGGGGCAACCAGAGGGACAGTCACCCAGTGGCCTCAGTTCATCTTGCATTACTTTCTGATAGCTCTGTGGTCCGTGAGCATTGCGGGGAGTTTGCATCTTAAGGCAGCCACTTACCTGCCAACCTAAACCAACCCCCTGAAAATGAAAGGCTCGGGAATACTCCTCCTAGACAGACAGAGGCAGGGTTTTCAAGGACAAACTTTAATTAGACTTGATATTTTAGAAGTTTCTCTTGTGGTTTTTAATTAATAGAGAGAGCAAACGTCTCTCATAGTGAATGCATACATCACATGCCCCTATGTCAATGTCCTTAGTAAGTTTCCAGAGCTTTCTGTAAGGGAGGTATTCTTCTGAGAGCTCTCTGAATGTCTTTTTGAACCCTCAAGACTGGACACCAAGGAGTATAACCATTTTTTAAAATTACACTTCCTCTGCAACCCTGAATTTAAAAGGCGAACATACGAATGTAATAGCCCTGGAATAACTATGCAGCTTTATGGAGAATACAAAATCAGCTTATATCTCAGGACCCACGGAACTCTCTGCTTGTGTGGCTGAGGATGTTAAACTTAAGATACAGTTTGGGGGAAATGTGATTTATAGTTAAAGTAGTCTAAATATCAATATAGCTGAATATCTCTGACAAAAGGGTCCCTTGCAGAGCTGGAAGTGATTCTAAAAACGGGAATACAGGAATGAAAATCAAATCTTGAGTTGAAGTAGCTGGAAATTGCAGAGAGGAGGGAAGTTTGGCTTTCACTCCCCACTGTTTGAAGATGGGCTTGTTTGCTCAGCTGGAGGAGGTACAGCAGCTGTTTCTACTCCGTGTTCCAGTGCAAATCGATGGACTTCAGCTTGTCTAATTGCTCCCCCACCCCCGCGTTTAATACCTAAAATATAATAACCCTCATTGCTTGTGTTACTGAACACACTTTTGCGTCTTGATGTCTCAAGCTAAACTAGTATTAAATATTTGGTCAGGGAGAGATGCCTAGAGATTCCGGAAGCCGAGGCGACCCTGAGTTGGGACGGTGACGGCAACTTACCGGGTGGACTGGGGGGGGCACCTGGGGAAGCAAGCAGCAGTTCCTCTCAGCTTCTCATCTGCAGCGCTGACCAGCAAGGGCGGGGATGAGCCGAGGCTGGAGGCCCGCAGAGGCGCCACCTGTCCCCGGGTGCCAGCAGCAGCCCAGTCGCCCCTTCCCTGCCCCGCGCCCCACCCCCACCCCAGGATCTCTAGGGCAATTCCCAAAGGCTCCGGAGTCCTCCCCTGACTGCCGTAGCCCTTGCCCCTTCCTGCCCCCATCAGACCTCTTGAAAATCACTCCGGGGCGCCATGCGAAAGAGGACTGGAACGGGGAGGTGGTCTGAGGCCTGGAGGAACGGGGGCAAGGGGCAGCGCCCGGGGAACGGCTGGGTAAGCAGCCAGACCCCGCCGCCCAATAGAAGCAGAAGATGCACTTGGCGAGGGGAGGCGCAGGCTCGGAGGCTCGCCGAAAGGCTCGCGGCTTTTGGGGTGTTCCCTCTCCTGGTCCTTGATCTCCACATCACCCCCAGCAGCCCCCGGCTCTGCGGGGCGAGGGGACCCCGGCGGGGCCCGTCGCTCCCGGGGCCAGGGGCTAGTTCAGGTCCTCGCTGCCCCTTTAAGGGTTCCCGAAACTTTCCCCCTGATAGCAGATGAGCCTCGTCACATCCGTTGGCCGTGGCCGCCGGGCGCCTTCCGAGGAAATTCGGGACTCCAGTTTCCCCGGGAAGAGGCG